TATGAGTTGGAACTGACTTGATGACCCCTAACAACAATATTGCTAGTTGCTGCTTATCATTTGGTGTTGTCTTCAAGTTGATTCTGACTCATGATGACCCCATGTGTGCCAAGTACAAATATTCCATAGGTTTTCAAAGCTGTGATCTTCAGAAGCATATCACCAGATCTGTCCTCTGAAGTGTCTCTGGGTAGGTTCAAACTACCAGCCTTTTGGAACACTAAACAGTTTGTGCCATATTGTTTATTGTTGTGTGTATAGAGACATTATGATTCATAGTGTCTCGTGTGTTTCTCACACAAAGCATTCTGGTTACCTAATATCACTCTGACAAGAATATACCACAAATGGCATGGCTTGAACAAACAGGAGTTTATTCTCTCACAGTTTTTAGAGGTTAGAAGTCCAAGGTCAAAGTGCCAGGCTCTATGGGCTGGGTGAAAGCCCTTCAACCCTGGGCTTCAGCTCTGCCTCCTGCTCCTGGCCCACCAAAGCTGGAGGTTTTTCTTCACTCAGGCAGCTGCTGGCTGCTGAGGCTGACAAACCCAAGGTTGACAGGTAAAAAGGCACAGTCCTGATATTACCAAACAACACGGCAGGCCACTAATTCAAGTCCAGAAAAAGTCTCAAGATTGGCAGGGCATGGCAGGCTGTTGAACAATGACTTGGAAACATGCAGGGTTCAAGCGTATCAAAAGGCTAGAGACCTTCCTCAAAGTTACTTCTTATATACTGGAAGCAGACCACATCCCTAAAGCAGCTACTCAGCTGCTCCAATAGATGCCACCATGGAGTTAACTACCTGTTTCACCATGGGGAATAACTACATCCAGCTGCCTAGCCACTCAACCAGGCTGAGCCAGGTTGATACACAAACTTAACTACCACACAAACTCATAATAGCTCATAGCAACCAGATAGCACGGAGTAGAATGGACCCATAGAGTTTCCAAAGCTATTAATGTTTAGAGAAGCAGACTTACACATCTTTCTCTCATGGATTGACTGGTGAGTTCCCACTGCAGACCTTTTGATTGGCAGCTGAGCACTTTAACCACTGTGTCACCAGGGCTCCTGTGCCATTTACTGAAAAAAAACCACAACCCACTGCCATCAAGTCGATTCCTACTCATGGCGACCCTGTAGGACAGAGTAGAACTGCCCCATAAGGCCTCTAAATCTTTATGGAAGCAGATTGCCTCATCTTTCTCCCAGCTGCCGGAGGGTTCCAGCTGCTGACTTTTGGGTTAGCAGCTGAGTGCTTTAACTATATGCCACCAGATTGTGCCACATTACTGCTTGCTTAATATGTAATGTAGTAAAGTATGTAGCATAAATGGAGATAGAAGTTTGCTTATTTTCTCCTTAAAAATATTATTTTTATAAGGTTTGAACACCAACAATAATTTTAGTGATAACTATTTATAATCATATAAGCTCTAGTGGTGTACTGGATATGGCATCTGGCTACTAACGAGAAGGTCAGCAGTTCAAACCCACCAGAAGGTCAGCTGTTCAAACCTACCAGCTGCTCTGCAGAAGGAAGGTGGGGCATTCTATTTCCATAAAGATGTACGACCTTGGAAACCCAATGGGGGTCGCTATGAGTTGAAATTGACTTGATGGCAGTGAGGTGTTTTTTTTTTAAGATTTTGGGATATTTTCTTTTCATTCTTGTTTGACTCAAACAATTTTTTAATTTTTTTTTTTTTTTTTTTTTTTTACCCCATTTTACAGATGTGACAACTAAAATTACAAAGTAAAGAGAAAAATACAGTAATAATCTCAGACCTATTTTAGATTCTAGATTAAATTCCAGATCTTTTGCTTGGCAGATATACCTTATTAAATAATTAAATTGCTAGTCAATGAAAACATCTATAATCACAACTCTTAAAGGAAATAAATTTGATGATCTAGGGTTTTTGTGAAGATGTGAGAACATTCAGTGGTGATATTTTCAGGGGCTCACTGTCATTTGAGCATGGCTTTTCTGAAGTTACAAATAGCTGCACTCTAATATCATTTCCAGAAATACCACCTCCACAAGTCAGAGAATTAAATTACCTTTTAATCTAGTAACTGTTATAGCCTCAAAGAGGGAATTGCAGGAAATACCACTCTAAGATTAAGTGTTTGTAGGAATGCCATAATAAAGAGGACATTATAAGTGCAATGTGGCCACTGAGAAGAAAATAGGAACAATAAAGACACCTTGATTTATATAGTCACATGTTTCCCAATAGCACTTCACAACTTTCATAAACTCACTGGACTCGGTTTTCCTATGAAAATCAGTGAGCTTAAGTACCCAGACATGCAGAGAAGAGTATGTCTTTTGACTCTCGTTTCCTCTTTGTCAGGTTTGCAGAGGAGAAGGAAGTATTGCAGAAGTCATTCCTAGACATTGGACTTCTGGTTGCGTGTTTTCTACCAGTATAGGTATAGTGGTCTGGCACAAACCCAGAGGCAGTCCAATTGTTCACTACAGAGGATTAATAGAGAAAAGAGTCCTGTTCTTACTTGAATCTTCTGCCAGTGCCCGCCCCCCCCGCTAGTTTTTTGTTGGCTTGTTTTATTTTGTTTCTCTACTTTCTTGGAAAAAAGTCTTTATTTTAGCCTGAATATTAAATAGCCAATTCACAAAAGATCCCTTGATTAAAAAAATAGAAGTATATATGATGCAT